CCTGGAACCCTGGATACAGCTGTACCTGAACCCGCTCACCCCAAACTTCCCAAACACTTGAACGAAGACATCTGCTTTTAGCCCTTTCACTTTGCAGATTTAGTTTCCTAGCTGGTTTTATTAGGGAATATTGATGCTGAAATGGACAGAAGATGGTGTGCCTGCTGCTTTTTGGCTGTGTGACCTTGTCTGTGTTTATTAACCTCTCTGGGCTTCGGTCCCCTTGCCCGTGATGGGGAGCAGCTGCCTAGTCCACAGGAGGGCTGTTTTGTGATTAATAAGAGGGAAAGCATTTAGAATCCATGGTCAATAAATGGAAGCTGCTAGAATTTCACTAATTAAGAACAAATTGCTAAGCGATAATAATTAGAAGGGATTCAATGCCTGAGTATCACTGGGTCTCTAAATTACTGTGGCTCCAAAGATCTGATTTTTATTTTATTATGTTTTGGGAGAAGACATATAGCCTAGGCTAGCCTCAAATTCACAATGGAGTGGCAGATGACCTTGAAGTCCTGATTCTTCTGCCTCTACCTCCCTAGTGCTCCATGCCTGCCCCCCCACTCCATCTGTTCTATTTTTGTTGTTTTTGAGACAGGGTCTCTCTTTATAACTGTGGCTGCCCTGGCACTTGCTCTGTAGACCAGGCTGACCTCGAACTCACAGAGATCAGCCTGCCTCTGCCTCCCGAGTGCTGGGACTAAAGGCGTGGGCTACAACTCCCAATTCTAGTTCTGTTTTGTTTTCTTTTTCGCCCCTGTGGTCTTTCTCTGGCCCTTTTATAAACACCCACAGTCTGTCCTCGAGAAGGAGGAGCCAGAATTTATTCTTCAAGCTTCTCAACTGTTGAAGAGAAATGCCACTGTCAGCATTCCCAACCCTCAGGGTCCTAGGACCTGGGAACATATAACAGCAGGGGTAATGCCCAGGGAGTCTGGCTTCCTCAGACTGTCCCCTGTGGGCTGACAGGAAGACAGAGCAGAGGGGAGACCCCGCGCTGTCCACCCCAGGACAGGGACACAGCCAGCCAAGGACTCAGCTATTCCAACTCAACTCTTAAGAGAGAGTGGCGGGCTTTGGGACAGCAGGGACATCGGCGTCACTGCACAGAAGCAAGGCTGCCAGGGGTCTATCCCTGGAGAGGGTCAAACACTACCCGAGGGCGAGCACACTTCATAAGGGCTCTTGAATAGTTGGTTTTGGCTCTAGCAGAAAGGAGAGTGGAGTTTGAAGCCAGGCCCTCTAGGCTGCAGCATGGACATTTCTGTGACTGAAGGGGGCGAGTGACCTGCCACCCTTGTGTCTTTAATGATCACCATAAGACATGGTGCTTCATCAACCCCAGGGCAACTTGGGCATGGCCTGGGCTGAGCTCAGCCCGAGTGCCTTGTTTCCCACAGTCTAACCTGATGGTGGGGGTGGAGTGATGGGGATGATTATAGTGATGATGGTGGAGATGACGTGTGAATGGTGGTGGGGTGGGGTGATGATGCTGGCCTGTGGGGATGTCTTGTGACTTTAAGCAGCACCCATGGCCTTCTTCCTGCAGATGCTGAGGGAGCTCCCACAGCTGTCACAACCAAATGTCCCCTGGGGCAGAGCTGCACACTTAACACTAAAGAGGCATTGACTCTTGTGTTTGATTCAAAGCTTGCAGGGCAGCCTGCCTGCTATCTGGCAACTGTTCTGAGGTGGCCAAGTCATCCTCTGTCCTTCATCAGAACTGCAGGGTTAGAATGAAACCCAAGCATCTCCATGGCAACACCACTCATTCCCTCGTTCCTTCAGCCTCCTGAGCACACACCTCCTTCCTTCCATCATCTCATCTCCCGCTTCAGGGCTGGGGAGGGGGGGTGGGATGTGCTCCCCATCTAGTCACAGCTTAGCAGCTGTGAGGACAGCCAGCTCCCCACACCCCACCACAGCGAGCTGCAGCTTTCCCAGAAGGACCCATCTCTTTCTAGGGTCTCATGTGCCACCCCGCCAGCCCCTGCTTCCTCCTCTCCGCCTCCTGGCAGCAGCCAGAGGCAGGAAACAAGGCAGTCAGTCTCTTAGCTTCCGTTATCAACCTGGGTCACGTGGCTGGCTCTTTTAATGGCTGTTGTCCTGACAACGGGAAGCCAGTCCCTGCTTGCTCTGGGAACCAAAACAAAATTAAGGGGTGGCGGCAGGGAGGGGAAGGCAAGCCAGAAAGGAGTCAGCTAAAAGCTGGTGGGCCTTAGCTGGAGAAAGCAGCATCACTCTGACAGTGACCCAACCCCGGAGGAGCATGGAGGACGCTTACACATAGCCTATCCTGCTCACTGAGTCACTTTCATCCCTATTATGACAAAACGGACACCCAGACACTGGAAAAAATAAAGACAGATGCTTCTGGGAGGCTGTGTGATTGATGAGCCATTGCAACGCCACATCCTGCAAGCATGCCGATGTTTTTGTTCAAATGCCCAGGGCCTGTGCTATGGAGGCCAGGGAACCCTTGTCCTGATCACTGTCGTGCCTACAGACCCTCTGTAGTGAATGAATCCAGGACTGGACTCCAGATCTTGTTGAACTCAGGGCTCCTTTCTGACCCTCATGATGGGTGTTGAGTCCTGAGAGCTCCTGGGGCTGGACAGAGCTCCCAGCCACACAGGCTCTGTGGGTGGCTGGAAGATGGCACCAGCAGGCTTGTACAGCTGTCTGGCTATCTAGGAATGCCCTCTGTCACCCTTTCCAGAGGAAGAGGGAGACGGGGCACAGAGGGGTGTAGCTCTTCTGAACCCAGAAGAATCGAGGCAGGGAAGACCTGATGGTCAGATCTTCAGGAAAATGTTTCCCTAACCCTCTAGAGCTGGGAGGTGGGCAAAGGAAGCTGTGGCCAGGAAGGTGAACTTAGAGGACCAACTTGAGAGCTCAAGGATGGCAGCCCTTCCCCCAATCCCCTGCACTGTACCCTTCAAACATGGCCCCTGCTTCTGGCCATGCTATACCCAGAAGGGTAATGGGAATCATGTCACCTCCCTACTGCAAGAGCTTCGGTGACCTGGGGTGATTGTCCTAACTCAGATCAACCTTCTTGGCTGGGTGCTGTTAGGAGTACTTCCCTACTGTGAGCCCCAGTTCTGCAGACACCATTTTCATGAGGTTGCTCTGTCTGCAGGGCACAGTGCATAAAAGTCCCCAGTGGAAGCTCGGAACCCCTGAGTGACCGCCCTCCATAAGCCAGGTCTTTGGCTGCAGATGCTGTTCAACAATCCGTGGAGTCCGGCAATGAGCTACCCTTGCCTGTCTCCGGGTAAGAAGAGCCCACTCCACTCAGGCTCAAGTCAAGAAGGCAGCTCACTCCAAAGCCAGTGGTCCCCAGAATCGAGGAGTCAGGCAGACATGTCATCACAGGACAGGAGGCAACATCCCCACAGTTGTGGGAGCACAAGCTAGATTGATGAGGATCAGCCCTGGCACACAGAGCCCCTGTGTTCCTCTGCACAGGAAATGGATTTCTCGTGAGAGAAGGGGTAGCTTATGAATGGCTTTGAGGGAGGAGGTGGCACACTTGAACTAGGGTGTCTCCTAATTTCCCCAGAGGCCTCCCTCGACATCTTTTCTACAGTCGAATCTTCTTTTGTCAACCATTTTGCTAATAAAGTGTGTGTGTTGGGGGGGGGGTCACCACAGGCTCTAACAGCCAAGGAACATGCTTTCCATCCAGGTCTGGGTAAAACTGAGCTGCAATCTTCCCGCTTTAACCGAGGTCTTCAAGACCTTCCCCCTGAAGGGAGGAAGGGCAGGGGGTTGGGGTCTGGATGGCACGTACCTGAGGTTTTCCAACAGATCTTTACAAAGACAGAGCCAAAAACGTCTAGGCCTTTCAGAGGGACACCCCGTCCCTCCCTTTATCATCTTACACACCACCTCATCTGAAAATTCTAGAATCTGCAACCAGCCCTGGAGCTGGTTCTTTAAACAAAAAGGGATATGCTACACACAGAGACACACCCACAAGCCCCAAGAGGAAGAAGGCACCGGCAACAGGTCCCAGCCTCCAGCTGCCCAGGTGGCTGCCACCAGGAAGGGAGGGCCTCCTGGGTGGCACCCGTAACGTACACACACATGCATCACACAGGTAGGTGTGCACCCAGGCACAGGCGTGCACACACACACACACACAAGCTCAGGAAGCAAGGGACAGACTCCAGCCTGATTCATAAATTCACAGGCAAGCAAAGTCTTGGGATAAGAACCCCAAGATGAAGATGGGAGGGGGGTGGAGGCTGAAGCATGGGGTGGAGACAAAATGGGGAGGGCTACACCACACCACACACATGCACTCAGCCTCACCCATTCACACAAACACACATGTATAGTGACAATATGGACATCGTCCTTGGTATCTCCAGTAAGTGCACACACGTGTTTCCCATACACATATGCACACAGACACATGTCCTGGGCTATGTTCGTCTACACCTACAGGCCCTCAGACATCCAAATGTCACCTCAGCCTTCTAAACTGACTCTACTCCCGAGGCCCTGGGAGGTTAGGCCTGGGCTCCTAGCTGACCCCTCCTCACTGAGGAGCCAGGCAGCCGCTCCTGTCTGATTGTGTGCATGGTAGGCATGCAAGCAGAGGGCAGCTGCCCTATGACCCTCACAGGCTCTCTTGGAGGTGGCTCCAAGGACTAAGAATCTGGGGTGGGGTAGGCAGACAGCTTCATGGTCCAAAATTGCACCTCTCCCCTGCCCCGAAGTCTAGTCTGCTTGGGGACATTCCGCATCACTAACGAGGAGTCCCACATCACCCTACCCCACCCCAGGAGTGAGGACCACCCACCTGCTCCTCCACAAGGAAAGGTCCCACCTAGAACCCTTCCGTTCCCACACCTAAAGGGTCTCACACCCTGAATCACCCCAGCCCTCCAGAGCGACCCTCCCGCCCCCCTGCCCCGGTCAATCGTGCACAGACGCGGGCCAGTTTGGTGACGGCGCTGGCCCTGTCACCCTGGGATGGCTGCCCCTACCTCCTTCTTCACGGTGCGCAGCAGCCTCTGGCGGGTCTCGGCCTCTGCGGGACAAGCAGGGAAGCGCGGTGAGCGGCGCAGAGGCCTTGGGGCCTGGCCGCCCTCCCGCCGCCCTCCCGTGCTTACCCGCAGGGACCGAAGCCATGGCTCGCGCTGGTCGGTGCCCGGCGCCCGGACTGGTCCCGGCTGCTCGCCCTGCTGCAACCGCGAGGGGCGGGTCCTGCGGTAGCTGAATGACAGCCCAGGACGTGGACGTCAGAACCCTCCCACCCGCCCCGCCCTCGAGCGCTAAGCGCCGCCTCCTGAACAATATATAGCAGATAGCATCTTCTCAGGCCCTCCTCCAGGACAGCGTCCTCACCCCAATCTCCTCCAGGACATCAACATCATCCCCCAGCCTCCTCCAGGACACATACCCGTCCTCACAGACCTCCTCCTCCTGGGCATCAGCATCATCCCGCGCCAAGCAGCCAACCTAAGATGTAGCACTGTGGTCTACACCATGTGTCTCCATCCATGCATATTTAAAACGGGGCAAAGCCAGACATGGGGGCACACACCTATCATCTCGCCAATGGGGAATCTGAGGCAAGGGCTCAGCCTGGACTACATAGTAAGGGCTTATCTCCAGAATAAAACTTGGTTCGTCCGGTATAAAGTGGATACAGGTTCTAGAATGATCTAATAACCATGTGAGATATTTGATATGTAATTCTCAACACAGACCAGAGGGAAAAGTACGGTGGCTACTGCCGCTTCCTATTATCATCCTCCTCCTCCCTTCCCCCTTTCCCTTTTAGACTCTGCTGAGATACTCTGGCTCTCCTCTGAAGAGGCTTTTCAAGGGCTCCCTTCCCTATTCTGGAAACTAGGGCTCCGTCCCTTAGGTTTCTACTCCTACGTAGAACTGCTGTCAGCCAGGACCTCCAGGGCTGGGTAGGACAAAGGTTTGTTCCACACAGAACCTTCATCAGCTACCTCCTACGTTCCCCACAACTGTGGCCCCAAGCGAGGTCATCAAATATTCACTGAGCACCTACAGCGTGCCAGGTCACAGGGTTGGGGAGAGGGACACATCGCTGTGGTACTTGGAGAGCAGACAGTAAACCATCCGGGGAACGAGGTAGAGGAACTGCAAGATTTAAAGCTCCGAAGTTGGGGTGTGCCTGTCCGGATGACAGCCCGAGAGGAGGTCAGCGGCTCTGGGCGGCAAAGCGAGACTGCTCACGGTGCAGCATGGGCCAAGGCCCCGTAGGCTCCTGGAGGCCATCTACTGAATGGGCAGTGTCTCCTCCACCCGCTTCCTCCCAAGCTCCAACCCAGCCCTCCATTCAGAACTAGAGAGCAGCCCAGGGCCCGCAGCTGTGGCCCCAGAGCCCTCCTTAAGTGTGGCGGTGAGGTTCTAGCCACAGCCCTCCCCTCACCCTCTCCAATGTGTTTGGTGCCTCCAGGATGCCAGAGTGTGGGAAATAAGAACTCGACAAAAAAATAAAATAAATAAGTGTAATCGAGGACTTAGTACGCGCTGAGCTCCGGTTGCTCAAATTCACTGGTCCCTACCCCCACCCTTTCACAACGAATTCCCTCCTCTCTGATGACTGTGGGCTTGTGTCGCTCGCTCGCACCCTCTGCGAAGCTTGACATCCCTTAGGAGAGCTTCCTAGTGGCCCAGAGACCTCCCCCCCCCCTCAGGTTCCACGGTGCCTTTGGCGCCAGGCGTCTGTATCTTCAGCGCCCTCTAGAGACCAACAAGGGCGTTGCATTCGTGTCCTCACCCTTCACAGCCCAGGAAGAACCCTAGCAAGAGCTGCGACTTTTTGATGAGGGCCAGCGCTGTGCGGTGAACGCCACGCATGTTGTCTCATTTAAGCTGCCAATCAACTCCACGAAGGATCCTCCAGAGAAAGCCTGTAAGACACATGACGGAGAGCAAGGGAGGCCGGACTGCAGGGCGAAGCGTTCTCAGTGCAGGGGGACCCCGGTTAGTTGCGGTGGATAATCTAAGATGCACACAGACAAGAGTGTATCTCGGAGCGTGCTGGCTAAGAGGGATCCTAGACTCCACAGGCAACGCAGCTGACCCGCCTTCCCTAGCCTTGTGCGAGCAGCTGGAGAGAGACCTGGAGAGAAAATGGCAGAGGAAGAGACAGATCACCTCTCTGCACTCACTTAGACAGGGACACGCGAAGTATTTTGGCATTGGATTTGAATCAGAATTTTGGCTTTTTATGGATGCTAGCTCGGCAGACACAGAGTGGAGCTGAGCCACTAGCCTTCGGGGATCTCCAAGTCAACAGCCCATCCCTGTGTGAGCTTATGTTTACGACGAATCCCTCTTCGTGTACATGCATGTACAACATACACGTGTGAGTGCACACATACAGCCCTGCCTCTGCATCCATGTAGGCTGCCCTGATGTAGAAGCCATGGAGGGTGCTGCTCACTGGCTTGCTCCTCATAGCTTGCTCAGCCTGCTTTCTTATTAGAACCCAGGACAACCAGCCCAGGGATGGCTCCACCCACCATGGGCTGTGTCCTGACCCATTAATCACCGATTAAGAAAATGTCCTACAGGCTTGACCACAGCTGGGTCTCATGGAGGCGTTTTCTCAACTGAGCTTCTCTCCTCTCTAGTGACACTAGCTTGTGTCAAGTTGCCATAATACTAGCAAGCACGGGTCACTATCCCCACAAGCTCAGGCTTGGGCTCTTTTGTTCAGTTTGAGACGGAAGTCACAAAGAGGCAGGAGGACACCATGTGGAAGAGACTTCGTTGGGGTCAATTTCTGGGGCTTAGGGTGGCAGCTGGGTAGGGTCCCAGGCTGCTCCCCGAGGGAGTCAGGGGAAGGCTTATATAGTCCGAGGAAACTGTAGTGCACCCCTTCACAAGCCTTTTCCCAGTGTGGTGTATTGTGTGTACGTGTTCACATATGTGTACATCTGTGTGTGAAGGAGCAGACACCCGTGTGTGCGTGTATTTGTGGAGGCCAGAGGTCAACGGTGGCTGCCTTCCTTAATTGATCTCCACTTTATCTTCCAAGACACTGAACCTGGAACTCACTCAGCTAGACTGGCTGGCTACTTACCCTGCCTCCGCCTCCATGGGATTGTAGATGTGCATGCTGGCCCCAGCTTTCATGTGGGTGCTGGGGTTGGAACTCGGGTCCTCACAGTTGCAGAGCACACACTTTGCTGACTGAACTGTCTTTCCGACCCACCTGTCCCCTACTGCCACTGCCATCTCAGAAGATGAAGGTAGTGTGCAGGGCACAGTGACACCCAACCAGAAACTGCTTCGTGGGAAATCAGGCCTCTCTTGTTCTGCCCCATTATCCACGGTCTCATAAAGGAAAAACCACCTTCATGACGGAAGAGCAGGAAGGACACGACTTTAGAAAATCATAAATGTACCCCTTCGGAGGGGGCAGGTGGATGCTCACACTGACATTTTTGCTGTGAAACTTCTGCACAATTCAGGGTCTCATCTCTAATACCTCCTGTTGGTGTGGCTTTAGACAAATGTGGCCTCGCCTCTGCTTCTTGGGCTTGAAACCAGGTGAGATGGTTTGGTCTATGCAAAACCTTTAATGGCTCATAAGCCAATGTGTGAGCATTTAGGTTGCAGATACATTCTGCAACATCTGGCTGTCACATCTGGGGGTTTGAATTCATGTTCTCATGCTTGTGCAGTGCATACTTTTGCTGGGGAGTGAGCCATCTCCCCAACCTTGGGGCAACATTTTATCCAGAGTTCTAAACACAATGCTTTTGCCTTCTTTTCCTGATGGTCGACCAGATGGCTATCACTAGTGACTCCTGGGGATGGGATGGGACAAATCATTTTCTTTCTTATGGGCTAGGTCAGTGTCTGAGCAGAGTGAGTGACAGTGTACCTGGACTGGGCATGGTGGCACATGCCTTTAATCTCAGCATTAAGGAGGCAGAAGAAGATTTCAGTGAGTTCAGCCTGGACAGCTAGGGCCACATAGAGAGACTCAGCCCCAAAACACACAAACAAAACAACCTCTCCACTACCACCAGGATGGATGAGGAGGGGGCAGGAAACAGAAGGGGGTGGGTGTGGCTTTACAAAGAGAAGCCCAGGTGAGCCTCTTTTGTGTTCAGATTGCTCCTGTACTGATGCATCTCTGATAGTTGTTTCCATTCCATTCTCTATGGACGCGTCTTCAATCTCTTTCCAATTGGTTCTCTTTCCTGTTATCTTAGATAGCTGGGCTATCTGGATATTACGGCTCTTTTCATTTGTATCTCTTTCTTCCTCTCTCCCTCCCTCCCTATTTTTGAGTCAGAGTTTCTCTGTTGGAGCCCTGGCTGTCCTGGAACTCACCATGTAGACCAGGCTGGCCTCAAACTCACAGAGATTCCCCAGGGATGAACAGACTCCATGGCCTGTGGTGACGACGGGTAGCAAATTGTACAACATCCCTGAAGTTTTATTGTAGACTACCCAGATCCTTGTAGAGGCAGACACGTACTGGGAATGCAGAATAGGTGTGAAGAGTTCAATGAGGATCCCACACAGAGATGGGTTGTTTCTTCCGGCTTGGGGAACCACAAGTTGACACTTTGGGACGGTTTCCATGTTAGGGATGGAAGGCAGGAAGACCCACTCCAGGCAGGAGATACTGGAAACTGATGGCTGCTGGTGTGTGTGGGTGGGGGGGGGCGGTGCAGTAAGTTTTCTTTAGAGATGAAGCCCCTGAAGGGCTGCCCAGTGTATGGATCCACCCCCACGCTCATGCTGGCAGCACCAGGTAGACTCAGTAAGTTTTAAGAAGAGTTCAAGAAATTGGAAGGGAGAGTGGAGGTCAGAGAATGGGAGGGTTCGGAGAGAGGGAGCGGACTGTGTGCTTGGTCAAAACACATTTTATGTGTGTGTGTGAAATTCTCAAACAATAAATTAAAAAGCATATTTTAAAAAGTTAAGCTCACAGGACTTTTAAAAATCTGACACATTTCCAAAGAGCAGAGAACACGAGATTCAGTTGGGGAGATGGCTCAGTTGGTAAAGTGCTGGGGCACAAGCCTCCAAAGGATCTAAGCCTGGATCCCCTGCACCCATGGAAACAGCTGGGAGCGTCTTCAGGCAACATGACCAGCTAGGTAAGCCCCGGGCTCACCGAGACTCCCTGTCCCCAACAACGATATGAAGAGCTGTAAAGGGGATAGTCCTCCTTGACCGGTGTGCGCGTGTGCACACGCATGCGCACGTGCACACACACGCAAACACTTGTGCACACCCCTCACTGCCTCCCACACGTATGTGTACCACACACAGTGACTGATGGCTAATGCTGTAGTTGCTTTTCTGACGTGATCTCACATTCTGTACCTACACCGAATCACCATAGTTCCCTTGCATTGGGTTTAAGGGACTTGGTGGTAAATGCATCTTGACCGCCTGAGTTGGATCCCCAGAAGCCGCATGGTGGAAAGAGAGACCCAGTTCCCCCAGGTTGCCCTCTGATCTCCACGCACCCATCTCGGAACACATGTGCCCCACACACATATAAACAAAGACGAACGCATTATGCTTCAGCCAATAAATAAATAAATTGTTTTTACCAAGGTTATAAAAGATGTCTCTGGTTTAATTGGGTATCCAGAATGTATATCAAGAATTGAAACACACAGCAACACAACTATAAAAATGAGGAGAGAAATGACAATAAAAATCAAAGGCGTCCTTCTAAGACGAGGCTAAAGTGTAAGAGCAATGAATGGGCAAAGGGCACTATTATTTTTTTAATGACTCAAAAGAAAAAAAAAAAAAAAGTCCCCCAAAGCCCCATCGGAGGAGAATCTACTTGCAGATATTTGTTCCCTAAATGATTCCAGGTGTGGCCTGGTTTGATGCCAAGCACAGAGCAGCAGCTGCAGTTAATTGCAGGAGTTTATTGCAGTTACTAAGGACTAAGGGCCGTTTAAGGGCAAGTGTAGAGAGGCCACCCCACCCCCACCCCCTCACCCCAGCCCCCGAGCTGCCCAGGTGAAGGCATTAAACTTGGCATCGTTTGGGTGAGGATGGGGGTGGGACTGGATGCCTACTGCAGAGCTGAAATTGGGATGGGAAGCCTTCGGAGCCTGGCCTGGCAGGTGCGCTGTACCATTTGTAGGAGACTGGGTCCCCTCCTTTGTTTCACTGTGGCTTGGCACAGACAGGGCTGTGTCCCCAGAAGGTGAGGAGCTGAGTTCCCGTGGGCACCCTGGAGAGGAGGCTTCTGTTGCTCCTAGGCAGAGGCTGTGGGAAGTGGTTCTGAGCCTCTGTGTCTCAAACAGCTTAAACTTTGTGGAAGAGGTAAGCTTGGGAGTCGGGCGGAAAAGAGCCGGGGGAGGGGGGTGAATAGGGGTGGTGAGGGAGCTCACTGGGGACACAGAGCCCAAGCATCCCAGGCACAGTTAGTGGACCCTGGAAGCTGGCTCTACCTGCTAGTTGAGAACACGAACTCACCTGTGCCCCAGAACTAACGAGAGTGGCCCAACAGCCACTCTCGTGGGTCCGTGTGGAGAAGGGGGGGGGGATATGAACCACATTCAACAAACTTCTTATTCCTAGGGCACTCCATAGCCTTTCCCAGGAAGTGGATCTTCCAGTTCAAGGGGGAGTCTTGCCAGTGACTAGAAAAGCATCTATTTGACAGGCTAGTCTGCTTTAAAGTTCCCCAGCAATTTCATACAGGCCTCTGACAGACCTTCCATCTTTAAGGGTCTTTTCAGATCACCCTTGCCATGTCAGGCCGGGCCAGGACCCAAGCCCGAGGCAGAAGCCAACCCCTGAGCATCTCACAGCCTGGGACACCCGGAGCAGCTGTAATGTTTCATATTTCTTTTTAAACAGAGTTGTGGGGCCCCGGGTATGGGAGACGTCAGGACGGGTGGGGGAAGGCTGGCTCTCTCAAACTCTCTCTCTCTCTCTGGAACATATCTATTTTCCACCTGGGGTCACAGTAGAGCAACGGTTCTCAATCTTTCTAGTGTTGCACCCCTTTAACACAACTCCTCATGTTGTGGCCACACCTTCCCCCCACCCCCTCACACAAACAGAATACTATTTTCCTTGCTACTTCATAACTGTAATTTTGCTCCTGTTACGAATCGTACTGTGCATACCTGAAGGGCAGGATGGTCGACAACCACTGTGAATGGGCCCTTTGACCAATGCCCTCTACGGGGGCCTCGACCCCACAGGTTGAGAACCATTACTGCAACGTGTTTGTTTGTTTTTGTTTTGTTTTGTTTTTTTTAACTGCCTTAACTTCAGCCAAGATTCTTACTGAAGGCAGAGCCTGTGACTTGTGACTTGACACCTGTGAGTAATGTTCTCTCCTAGCCCATGTCTGCTTAGCCTTTGTGAATGGCTGCTGGTGAGGTCTTTCTTTTTGGCAACTGTCAACGGATGCTATGCTATCTGATCATCCGGCCTTCACTATCTGGCTCCTTCTAACCCCTTTTCCGGCCTCCCCTCCACCACCCCTCCAACCTCAACCCCTTTCCCTGAGATTTCAGTCCTGGTCTCTGACTTTGACTTGTAGCTCGGAGGTGACTCCGGAGCCAATATCAAATGCTTCCCCATCTGGTCCCCTCAAGTTCCCTGAGCAGCAACCCTGTCCTTGCCCCCTCCCCCAGGAGAGAGCCTAGGCAGCCAGGGTGATTATCACTGCCTGTGTGTGTCTTCTTTCGTTTTTTAAGTGTGTGAAGTAGACACAGGTTGGCAGGTAGGGTCTCCTTGGCAACATAGGCCAGCTGTCCCTAAAGCAAACATGGCCTGCACCCAGAGCCACTTTGGCAGCCGTCCAGCCCAGACACCCCTGCTTCCGGTCCTCTGCTTGGCCCCCCAGCCAACAGGGTCTTGCTAAGCGAAATCCCCCACACCTGTGTGTGCTACTTTCTCCGGGGCCTCCGCGGAGCCCGGATTCTCAGCCTTTCCTCCCAGCTGGTCTCTGTACCCATGGACTCCCAGCATCCCCTCCTCACCAAATCTGCAGGCCGCTTGCTCTTCTGGCCTCGAATTTGCCCCTTTGGTGCAGCAAGATCGAAACAAATCTCCCTCCCTCCCTCGGTGCAGCCCCCAGCTAGCTGCCCCTTCCTGGGTTCTCCTCCTTTTCTTCCCCTGCCCTGGGATACTCTTAATGGTGATACCAGCGACACTGTGGCTTCATGTGTGGCCCCCAGGCAGACTCCGTCCTGACCTCCCCACAGAGGTCCACCGACACCTCGCCTCCCTACTTCTCCCACACCACGCCCACCTCAAGCAAAGAAATTCTATCATGCACTTGCTCTGACTACTATCTTGGGATTCCTTCTAGACCCTTCTCTCTATTGCCATTTCCTTTGTGTACTTTCCAGTTACGCCTGACGCCTCTTTGTATCTTTTTGATGGACCCAGGCATGAATATGGCAATTATCTGTACCAGGTCCCTAGGTTTCCTTAAAAGTTGACCTCTTAGCAGAATTTGAGTGTTTCAAAATTAGGAATTGATTATAGCTTTTGGGTGAGGAGTGAATGCAAAGAACACTGCTCCTCATTTCTGTCCCCATGCACATACAGGACTCCGCAAGACGGGGATCCCGAGCCAGGCCACCGCGGGCTCCCCGAGCCAGGCCACCGCGGGCACCCGGAGCCGAACCGCCGCAGGCACCCGGAGCCGAACCGCCGCAGGCACCCGGAGCCGAACCGCCGCAGGCACCCGGAGCCGAGCCGCCCCAGGCACCCGGAGCCGGGCCATGGCAGGCACCCCGAGCCGAACCGCCACAGGCACCCCGAGCCGGGCCATGGCAGGCACCCCGAGCCGGGCCATGGCAGGCACCCCGAGCCGGGCCATGGCAGGCACCCCGAGCCGGGCCACCATATTCGGGAGTCCGAGCTCTGCCACTACAGCTCCATGTCCAGCCAGCCCAGCCTGGAGCCTTGCCACCGCAGCCCCAGGCACAGCCACCACGTCTGACTTGGGCCCAAATACTGAAGTCCCAGACCGCCCTACCACAGGCCAAAACCCCGTCACAAGAGCTCCGTGTGCAGCCATCCCTGCGTGAAGCTCAGCTGCCGCAGCCCCAGGCCCCATCACTCCAGCCACAGGAGGAAGGCCAAGTGGTTGGGTCAGAGGAACCTAGAGGAGCAGAAGGCAGAGTCCCACTTCCAGGTGAGGGGTCCAGGGCAGGTGATGGAGACAGATGTCTCATGCATGGAGGTAGCCACAATGGCTGGCTGTCATCAATAGTCCTACAGTGGTTTAAAAGCCGGCGAGACAGGTGGTATCAACAATACCTTGGAATTTGTGTAAGCTCAGCTTGTGAAAACATCCAGCTCTTTCTAAGCTGCTACACGAAAAGCTTGAGGCAACCCGCCACCTAGGTGTTTTCCTTGTAGCATTTTTGGGACAGAAGTGCAGGTCACAGGGACACTTTACCAACTGCCATTGTTATGTGTGCCACCATGCATGTGCTGGAGGTCTGTCTCCGTGATGGGCCAACATTTAAAATCATACATACATAGTCTTCATCACCAATAGTAAATGGTAATAAACTTGGAACCCCATGAAATGCAGATGTAAATTTGAATTCATAAAGGGACCCCCCGTGTTTATCGCCTCATGACACTTTCCTGGCGCTGTGGCCCGTCCTTTGGAGTGTGGGGTGTGGTCAGGCTGAATGATGCTGGTGGTACCCTTTCCTCTCCCTGCTAGAACGAATGGTTCTGCACACGGGGTCTACAGGAACTCGATATATTGACACAGCTGTTGCAGATTTCACGTGTGAAGCGTTTCTGCAGTAGAAGTGCCGGATGCGGTGTGGGATAGGATTCAGACTTCCAGGACCGGTGGTTGAGCTGTGTAACCTGAGTCACGGGCACCCTTGGCCACCGAGGACACAAAGCCCACAGTGCACCACTGTGCACTGTCACTCAGGCCTGGTCATTGCCGAACATATACTTAAAACTCTGTACACCTCAGAGCATAATAAAAATGGAACAAATTCCCACCCGGATTGCCCTTTGTAGAAAAGTGGTCAGTCCTTTTGTATGAAAAGCCTGGACTTTTAAACCTTTGGTTGCCGCACTCCGTTGCCCACAAGAGGGCAGTGTGGTACCCAGGTTACTGGTTTACACATCCCATAATGAATGTCGAATATGAGGGCAGGAGCCAGCTCCCCAGGGAGCTGCTCTGCAAGCTGAGGAGAGATTTGGGAGAGCTTTTTCATTTTTGACAGCCTTGACTGTCTTAGCTACTACATAGCTTGCTGTGTTTTTAAAAAGGTTTAAAATTTTATTTTTTAAGAACGTGTATGTGTGTGGGTGTGCCAGAGGAGTGTATCAGAGCTTCTGAAGCTGGAATTCTAGCTGGTTGTCAGCAGTCCAGCCTAGGTGCTGGGAACCATGCCTGAGTCTCCCTCGGGAGCACCGAGCAGTCTGAGCTCCGATCACCAAGGCCTTCTCTCCAGCCTCCACTGCCCCTCATTTTGTTGTGTGTCTTTGCTGTTTGTATTTGTTCCCATGTAGAACATCCCCGCACAGCCAAGTCAAAGGAGCTGACTGGAAGGTCTCATGGAATCTTCCAAGACCTCGTGGTGAACACCAGGAAAGGGTTGAAGCATGTCAAAGATTCAAAGAGAGGTATGACCTGGGAAGAAAGGAAGGGTGGCCTGGAAAATTCTGTAAAACTATTAGTTGTAAATTTTGTCTTAAAAATAACTAGTGTGACTTACAGCTGGAGAGGAGGCTCAGGGCAGGAAAAAAAAAAGAAAAGAAAAAACAAACAAACAAACAAAAAAACTTTAGGTGCAAGTCGGGGGACCAGAGTTCAAATCCCCAGAGCTCACATAACCAGTATGCGGTGCCATGCGTGTGTGCATGTGTGCGTGCCTGTCTGTCTGTCACCCCAGTCCTCCCACAAGATAGAAAGTGGAGACAGAAGGCCCGGAAGCTCTCAGGTCAGTTAGCAGGGCCCACGCATCAGTGAGTAAGAGACTCTGCCTCAAACAGGACGTAGCAGGACAGAACCAAGCTGTCCTCTGCCTCCCCCATGTCATGCATGTGGCTGCACTTACATGCACACCGTATGTACAGGAGAATAAAATAGTAATGTGTTTGGCAGAGTCCACACAGCTTTGCTCAGTCGCCATAGACAAGTCCCCTCACCCCCCGCCCCCCCCCTCGCCACCATCATTTGAAAGTATCACTTTCAGGCGTGATGGCCCCTTGTAGGGAGGGGTCTGGGTGGGCTGGGCAAGTTTCTTTTCCACTTACAATGTCTAAAGCAGTGGTTTGCAACCCTCCTCATGATTTGACCCTCGTTAATACATTCCTCTTGAGTAGTGACCCCCCTCCCCCGCAACCATAAAATTATTTCATTGCTACTTCATAACGAGAATTGTTGCTACTGTCATGAATGGTAATGCTAATATCTGTGACTTCCAGTGGTCTGAGGCAGCCCCGTGAAAGGGTTGATTGACACCCAAATTGAGAACCGTTGGTCTAAAGTAATGTGCCTTGCTTTCTAGGGACGGAGGGCAAGGTGATATGTCTGCAGACAAACCATTACCAAGTGACTTGTGACTGTAAAATCGCATTCAAGTACAGCATCAACTACAAACCAGACATAAAGGACATAAATATCCGCACAAATTTACTGCTTAAACATCAGTCTGTACTTGGCAAGTGCCATATATTTGACGGAAACTCGTTGCTGTTACCTCACAGGCTGGAGCATTTGGTTAAGTACTGTTTTATAAGAATTTTCTGGACAGTAGTGTCCAGGACAGTGCTGTGGAACTGATAATACACACATCCACCCTGATGCCCAAGTTGGAACATCATGGGTCTTCACGTCCCTTGTTTTAGAACTTAAGTAGAAGTTAAATGGTATTTAAACACAACGCAGGCTAAAAATGCTGAGCGGTGCTGGGGTGCCGGTAGGGGCCGGGGAGAGACAGCTCAACCAGCAAAGAGTTGGTCTGCAGGTGTGTGGGCCTGAGTTCGGATCCCTGGTACTCACATAAAACCTGGATGGGTCTGGTGTGCACCTGTGACCCCCAGAGCTGAGGAGGCAGAGATGGGAGGTTCCTGGGGATGGCTGTGACATCCAGTCTATTTAAATTGGTGGTCTCCAAGTTCACTGAGAGCTTGCCTCAAACTCCAGGTAGATATTGACTGAGAAAGACAGAACATTGGTCTTTGGTCTACACACAGACACAGCATGGAGAGACATATGGCAGAGAGAGAGAGAGAGAGAGAGGGAGAGAGAGAGAGGAAGAGAGAGGGAGAGGGAGAGAGAGAGAGAGGGGCGCAGAGAGAGCGGGGACACAAAGAGAGAGAGGGAGAGAGATGCAGAGACACCCCCACACCCTCACACCCTCACACCCCCACACCCCCCCACACACCCCCACCCCCCACACCCCCACACACCCCACACACCCCACACCCACACCCCACACCCCACACACCCCACACCCACACCCACCCCCCACACCCCACACCCCCACACCCCCACACCCACACATACACACCCACACACCCCCACCCCCACACACACACACCCCCACACACCCACACCCACACACACACCCACACACCCCCCCACACACACACCCCACACCCCCACACACCCCACACACCCCACACCCCCACACACCCCACACCCCCACACACCCACACCCCACACCCCCACACCCCCCACACACCCCACACACCCCCACACACCCCACACCCCCACACCCCCACACCCCCCCACACCCCCACACACCCCACACCCCCCCACACCCACACCCACCCCCCCACCCCCCACCCCCCCACCCCCCCCCACACCCCCACACCCCCCCACACCCACACCCCCCCACACCCACACACCCCCCACACCCACACACCCCCCCACACCCCACACACCCCACACCCCCACACACCCCACACCCCCACACACCCCCACACACCCCCACACCCCCCCACACCCCCCCACACCCACACACCCCCCCACACCCCACACACCCCCACACACCCCCACACCCCACACACACCCCCACACACACACCCCCACACCCCCCCACACCCACACACCCCCCACACCCACCCACACACCCCCACCCCCACACCCCCACACACCCCCACACCCACACACACCCCACACCCCCCCCCACACACACACCCCCACACCCCCCCACACACACCCACACCCCCACACCCCCACACCCCACACACACCCCCACACCCCCACACACACACCCCACACCCCCACACACCCCACACCCCCCACACACACCCCCCCACACCCCCACACACACACCACACACACCCACACCCCCCACACCCCCACACCCCACACCCACCCCCCCACACACCCCCACACCCACACCCCCACCCCCCCACACACACCCACACACCCCCACACACACCACCCCCCCCCACCCCCCACACCCACACCCACACACACCCACACCCCCACCCCCCCCACACACACCCACACACCCATGCCCACATCCAGAGAGGTCACATAGAGGCACATGCGTGCGCACATATGCACAGAGGTACGCGCGCACGCACACACACGCACACACGCAGAGGCGCGCACACACGTATGTAACTACACATGCACACACAAAATGCTGACATCTTATCGTTTCGTTAAAAACTTTATACAAAGGAAGTTTATATAGGGCTCTATTTTCTATGTATGTTTTTAGTTTTCCTTCCAGGTTAATATTTATATTGGTAGCCAAACCAATTATTTTCAGGAGCTTAAGTAAAACATGTGTAAATATAATATTGTGGTGTTTGATATCTGTAAATCATGTCTTCTGAATGAATAAGAGCTCCACCTCAGCTTGGGCAGTTGAGTGTCCGGCTGCCTGTCAATGAGACCTAGTTTTCTTGAATATCTCCATTTTGTTGTTGTTGTTTGCTTTAAAGTGCATGGGTGCATTCTTGTATGTGTGCGGGTGTGTATTCATATGAGGCCAGAGCTGAGGATCTGAACTCGGATCCTCAGGCTTGCCTAGCAAGTGATTTCCTGACTGAGAGCTGTCTCAACATTCCCCCCTCCTTGTTTGACATCTTAGGAAATGGAGCTTGTCAGCAAGACAGAAGCAGGTGACATAGTGTTAATCCGTATCCAGCTTTGCGGTGAGCTCCACCCCAATCATCCCGACTGGCTTCGCTACTACAACATCCTCTTTAGAAGGTGAGTAAGACTTGGCTATCCCTCCACCCATCATGCTCCCCGCGGTGCTCCTTAGGCCCTACATTGTTGAGCAGGCAAGTGTCTTCTAGGTAAAATGATACTTGAACCTCAGCTACAATATGCAAACTCAGTATTTATAGTTCCCAGCATTTGTCCTCCTGCCCATACCCACTCCTGTACCTGCTGCCTGTCTGGAAAGGGGAACAGATGTTCACGCTGCGTATCTCTGGAGTATGTGTGTGTTCTGTTCTGCAATCATTATAATGACTAAATATGCAAAGGACCATTTGGGCCACAGAGTCTGCAAGATGGTTTATTTTAGTACTAAGGATGTTTGAGGCCAATCGTAAGGTCCCACACACACTTGAGGCCCTCTCCCGTGAGAGCCCCTTCATGTGTTTTATTTACCTAACACTCTGTTAATTGTTCAAACAAGGTCACCCTTGTTTCCCTGATGTGTCTTCGTGTGTGTGTGTGGGTGTGTGTGGGTGTGGGGGTGTGTGTGTGTGGGTGGGTGGGTGGGGTGTGTGTGTGTGTGTGTGTGTGTGTGTGTGGCTGGGTGTGTGTGTGGCTGGGTGTGTGTGGGCGGGGTGTGTGTGGGCGGGGTGTGTGTGGGCGGGGTGTGTGTGTGGGTGTGTGGGTGGGGGTGTGTGTGTGTGGGGGGTGTTGGTGTGTGTGGGTGGGTGGGAGTGGGGGGTGTGTGGGGGTGGGGGTGGGTCGTGTGTGTGTGTGTGTGGGTGTGTGGGTGTGTGGGTGGGGCTGTGTGGGTGTGGGGGTGTGTGGGCGGGGTGTGTGTGGGTGGGGTGTGTGTGGGCGGGGTGTGTGGGGGGGTGGGGGTGGGGTGTGGGTGTGTGTGGGTGGGGGTGTGTGTGGGTGTGTGTGGGTGTGGGTGTGTGGGTGTGGGTGTGTGTGGGTGTGGGTGTGTGGGTGGGGTGTGTGTGGGTGGGGGTGTGGGTGGGTGTGGGTGGGTTGGGTGGGGGGTGGGGGTGTTGGTGGGGGTGGGGTGGGGGTGGGGTGGGGGTGGGGTGGGGGTGGGGTGGGGGTGGGTTGTGTGGGGGTGTGGGTTGTGTGGGGGTGTTGGTGTGTGTTGGTGTGTGTGGGTGGGGTGGGGGTGGGGTGGGGGTGGGTTGTGTGGGTGTGTGGGTGTGGGTAGGGGGTGGGTTGTGTGGGGGTGTGGGTGTGTGTGGGTGTGTGGCCATACTCAGGATCCTCTCCACAAACCCACTCTTTCCACCTGTAGAACACTGAAGCTGTTGGACTTGGAACAGAGCGATTCCAATCTCCAAGAACTTCAACAGCAGCTTCAGTTATCAAGGTTTGAGAAAAACGAGGAGGGGGGATGGTGGTGTAAACCGGTGTCTACAGATTTAATTAAGAAATCTGCTTCGAGGGTGATCCTTTGGTTTGAAGTGCTGTGGTTTTTTGTGTCTTGTTGTTTTTAACTTTTACTGATTCTTTGTGGATTTCACTTATCTTCCCATCCCATTGCATATGCCCCAAAACAAGTTTTAAAGCAAAAATCTATCTCATCGTGGAAGCTGTAGTGTGGCCCATTGAATCACAGTTTACCGTTTAGTACATTCATCTTTTCTTGCAAGTATTCATTGCTGTGGGTCTTTGGTCTGGCTCACAGCCAAGGCTCAAGGCTTCTGCTACACCCTTGACAATGAACTCTTACTGGGGCTGCTCCGGCATACTCTGCTGTTTTGGACCTGTAGGTTCATCCCCTTCACATGCCCATAGATGAGGTTGGAGTTGGGGTGGACCTGGGTGGTAGCTGGGTTGGCCAGCCCACCAGCTCTCCATCATCCTCACTACCCAGGTGAGCTCTTCCCACAGCCTGTAGACCCCATGCAGCCTGCAGCAAGGAGTTGGGATTTTAAAGTGACACCCATGGATTATGAATGGTGAGGGTTCCATGTGTCAGGCTTGGATAATCCTAGCACTTGGGAGAAGGATATTTAAGAGGACTGAAGAGTTTAGGTCAGCCCTGGACTACATATTAAATCATTGCCTCAAAACAAAACAAAACAAAGTTCTGTTTAATGTAAGGTGAAAAGTCATCATTAAAAACAATCCCAGCAGCTCAAGGTGCTTAGGCAGGCTGAGGTGGTGGCACACATCTTTAATCCCAGCACTCTGGAGGCAGGCAGATCTCTGTGAGTTGGAGGCCAGCCTGGTCTACAGAGTGAGTTCCAGAACAGCCAGGACTGTTTCACGGAGAAATGTAAGGGGTACGGTTTTTCCACCCGCAGCCTGGTATTGTCCCGCTGCCGCGCCAGCCCCAAATAACACACAAGAGACTCTGTATTTGATATTATACTGTTGACCAGTTACTACTTTCTTATTGGCTAGCTCTGCCTTAATTATTAACCCATTTCTGCTGATCTATGTATTTTCACATGGCCTTCTCTTACCTCAGAGGCGGCTGGCGTCCGGCTCTCTCCAGACTCTCCATCTTGACTCCTCCTTTCTACTTCCTATTTCCTCCTTGTCTCCTAGTCCCTCCTATCTTCCTTTCCTATTGGCCAACAGTGCTTTATAATTAACCAGTATGAGAAACATATACAGAATGACATCTCCCATCATCTCCTCTTTTCTGTCTAAATAAAAACAAGGGTTTTAACCTTAACATAGCAAAATATATCACACAACAGTTATCAAATAAGAATCACAGTTAACACTATTTAGCCCATTAACATTTAGCAAGATTTAAGAAAATATTCCATCATCTATTCTATCTTTGTGTGTCTAAAGTCTATACCATAACTATCTGTCTTCAACTCCTTCAAAGACCACAGAAGGATAATATATAAACTCTACAAATGACAGAGACATCATGCCTTTGTCAGTCACCTGAAGTTCTTCTGTAATCTTCCATCTTCAGCCCATACGCCATAGTGTGTCTGGCAGACTCTTCAGCAAAGCAGGAAACTTTAAACTGTCTTCTTGTATTGGCAGTTTGTCAGTCACTTTCCTCTGTGTCCTGCAGACTGTCTGGCAGACTCTTCCATGAAGCAGGAACTCTATAGCAATGTCCATCTTGAATCAGCAATCATTTTTCTATGGGTCCTGCATGTCCAGTTTATATAGCACAAAGTCAAACAGTCCAGACAAGAGCAGTATCTTGTCCAAATGGCTAGTCTTGCCATATTGGAAGTAAACTCCATAACGTGTTTCTTTAATGTCCATCTTCCTTTTTGATGCAGGTGGTGTTACCAGGAGCATTTATGTCTCATTGTCAAGTAAAACCCTAAATCATTTTAAATGCCATATTCTGTAGGTCTTTGAAAGGTTTGAAGAATTCCTATCTATCTTAAATACATCTCTGTGTATCTTGAAAACCCTAACTAAACTCTAAGCTTTGACTATCATAGGTAATTATCTATAATCTGTACTACATTATACATTACATTTCTAAATGAGCTATACAAACAAGAGGAGAAATATACATATGACAAAATTGACCTTAAATTGTATCAATAAATGAAAATCCATTCCAAAACAAAGTATTCATATCTATATCATAATCCTCTTTTTACCTTTAAAAAGAATATTGGTTGTGATCATTAACCATTTATAACCAAGTCCATTTAAATGAAAACAAACATTTATAAACAATATTTGGGAATTTGGGCGTCGTTCTTTTCAAACTATTTTCTGCTGATAGGGGGCGCTGTCATGGGGATCCTAAGAAGTTGTAGAAATCTTGGCTGTAGTCTGCGAGGCTGCTTTGTCCAAGTTGTTTTGAATGTTGGATCACCTGGTACTCTGTTTCAGGGGGTTTGGCTTGATCAAACCACATTATCTCCCATCAGAGAAACCCTGTCTTGAAAAAAACAAAATAAAACAAAGACATCTAGCTTGACACTTTAAGTGACATGGTTGGTAAGAACAGACTGCATGACCCGTGACTGCCCCTCCTTTGGTGACCTTCTAAAGACCAGCACTGCCTAGTAATAAGGAATTGAAAGCAAGCTCTGGCAGGGAATGCTGGGGCCAGACCGGCCTCTGCGTAACAGATTCTCTTTGCAGAATGAGCATCCAGCGCACCTACAACACTTCCATCCTACCGTACGAGAACAGACTGACCCTGTGTGCTGACGTGACACACAAGCTGTTCCACGATAAAACTGTGCATGATTTTATACTTGAGAAGAGCATTAATAGGAAGAGTAAGATGATGAAGAAACAGATCTCTGAAAAGATAACAGGATCCATTGTTCATACTAGGTGAGTACATTTTAAACCCCTACTGGTTGCTCTGGCTACCTCTTTAGTAGGTCACAAAAGTTCTTGTCATGCCCAGAGAGCACACATTTGTATCTGGAATTTTCTTTGGGCCACCAACCAGCTCCCAAATTATTGATGTTAATAAGGATCAGGAGAAACAAATAGGCCGAATAGTTGTTTATTCAGGGAGAAATAACTTACAACATAGACAGATGAACACCAGCAGGTTCCTGTCCCAAGGACCCCTGTCCCCGTGCTGTAAGCAAGAGAGCTCTCAGAGCCCCCTCCTCAGCCTTAGTCTCACGTCCGGCCCTGTCTCCACCCCCAATGGGCGTGGTCTATGCCACAGGGGTGGACAAGGTGAATATCTCACTACACCGAATACTTACTATTTATGAACACCCAGCCTTGGCTTAGGCTTGTCCCACTAGCTCCTTTAAGCTAATTTAGCGTTCTTCCATTCACCTGCATTTTGCCTCGGGGCTTCCTGCTCCTTCTGCGTCTGCCTGGCCCCTGGTATTTTCCTGTCATCTTCCTGTGAGCCTAAACCCCGCCTCCTACTTACTCTCCCTGCCTAGAAGTCCCGCCTATCCCTCCTCCCTTACTGTCATTCGGGACTTCAATTAGATCAATCAGGTGTCTTAGGCAGGCAAGGTAAAACAGCAACACATCTTTGCATTAGTTAAACAAGGGCAACACACCTTCACAGAACTAAGCAAATGCTATGCAGCGCACATTCATGAAATTCAGGGCTTGAGTTGAAAAAACGGCAAGCATCATGTGACGGTCTTGCTTGGGTATGTGTCTGGTGTCCGTCTCTATGCTCTGCCCTTGGCATGTCTCTTTGTTTGCTCCTGGGCCTTGCTGCTTTTTCTGCGCAAGCTCATTCCTGTTCTAAACGATGGTATCTATTGCCAGGTATGGCCCAAGGGCAGCTTTCACCTCTGAAGATGTTTTGTCTTAATTCTTCTATATCAGAAACTCGCCACCCAGAGAGCCAACTTGGTTACATAGGTATTTCCAAAGGGAAACGAGAGCTCGTGTCCTCCAGAACTGGTGCATCGCAGCCCAAAGCTAGACAAACCTGATGCTTTATATCTTGTTAGTAGATGAGGCATTGTATGTCCCTGCAATGGAATATTACTTAAAAATAGGAATGTATGATGTGCCAGTGATGGTTATGGAGTAAATGACCCTGGAGGAAACCAGTCAGAAACAATTGTAAATTCTGAGTCAATTTACATGAAGTATGTGATCAGGCCAGTGTATGGAGACAAAGAGCACTCAGCGGCTGCCTTGGGCAGGGTCGGGAGATTGGGAGCAAATGAGTAGCCACTTAGGGTTTTGAGGTTCTTTCCTGGGAAGTTGAGAATGGTCAGCCCTGGGATTCTCAAAAGACATGGACGTGATCCCTGGAATGTGGGTAAGCTTGTGCTGTATGCCAGAATCTGCAGGACTTCCCTACATGCATGGCTGTGTGCCGTGAATGATCAGAGCTGACCTCTCACCTGGCAATCATTCACCACAGGTACAACAATAAGACCCACAGGATCGATTTAGTGAACTGGGAAATGAGCCCCAAAGACACGTTTAAAAAGTTTGATGGCAGCATGATCACCTTCATCGACTACTACAAGGAGGTGAGGATCCCACTCTTTGGATATTTAAATTGTGAAGGTGCTCATGTCAGAGAAATCTCTCTGCATCTCCTTTAGATGCCTGAGGTAATGTACTAATACACCTGTTCTATCTATGGAGACGTGGCCATTTAGGGAAGAGGTCATAGTGTCTCAGAGAAGCAGAAGGGACTGAGCTGGGCAGATGAGGGACAAGCATGGGGCTCAGGCACCACATTCGGGATGTGTCTGATGGGGATTGTCACCAGCAAGACTAATAAAGACAGGGACAATGTAAGCATCTCCCTCCCTCATCTAGTGGGGCGGAAGCCACCCTGAGTCACATTTTATATGTTGGGATGAATCGGATTGCACTGTGAGCCAATGGCATTGGATTAAGGGTGCGTGCGGACTCACGTGGGTGCTCACGTGGGCACGTGTGCACATGTGTGATATACAACATGCAAAGTATATCCCATGCATGTTGCTACCGTATGTGACCGAGTGCATCACACATGCGTGCACACACAGAATGCACCTGTATCGTATCGAATGATGGCCTTCACTATGGCGGTGTTCTCAGCATCTGCACCATGTGCTTTGGGCTTGTGGACACCCTGTTATTCTTGTCCCCACCCTGTCCGACCCCCTCACCACACCCTGCCCACCTCTACTCTCTAGTATTGTATGGGCCGTATGCCTGCACCAGGGTCCTTTACTCACGCATCTGTTCATGGATGTGTAAGTTGGTTCCACGGCTTGGCTCCATATTACATATGTTTAGAAGTCATGAAAGCAGAAGGGGACTTTTGGGGGCAATGAGGAAGGGGGACACTGGGAGGGGACAAGGCAGTGGCCAGGACAGTGGGACCAAGCCAGCAAATAACACATGAGTGAGTATGTCGTAAGGAAATGAATATGCCGCAAGGAATCATTGCCTTTTTTATTTGCTACTAAAAGGGGGTGGGATTTAGTGAGGCGGTGGCTCTGGGGTCAAAAGGAGGAGAAATGAGACACACACAGAGGGACCGGACGCAGCACAGCCTCTGGCTTGGGAGGGGTTGGTACGCACTGTGCTGGGAAGACTGGGAGACGGCATCCCCTGTGGCTAGAGCAGCCAGCTGTGATGTGGAGAGAGGCGAATTCTTCCAATACATGTCCCAAGTCTTCAGGAATAAGGGTCCCCTGACAGTGATGTGTCAAGTGTGAGGACCAGGGGTGAGAAAGAGCAAAAGAGTACCTGGCCTCGGGAGGTTTCAGCATGAGATATTTGTTACAAACTCCAACTTCATACTCACTGTTTGTGGGGTGGGGCGGGGCGGGGCGGGACAGGGTGATAGCTGAGGTCAGCAGAGATGAGCCAGGTAATCTTGTCAGAGGGGGACTCTTCAGAAACGGCTGCCTTAGGACTGATAACCGCAGCCCAGGAGTGGCAAGTAATCTCTACTCCGACATCAGATCAGCCTTGCCAGCTCCACTCTTCCACAAGGGCATGGACTGAAGCTTTGCTTTCTTCATGGCCTCTGAGAAAGTCCTGGGTCTGACACAAGACTTTCTCAGTCATGTCCCCGCGGAAACCACACTCACATACCCACACATAGACACATATACAAATAAAAATTAACAATTTGATAAATGAATATCAACAGACCATGTTGGGGAAACATTCACATCCCTCAGTGGCACCATAAGCTTTGAAAGTTAATTCTCAAACCTCTAGGGCTCAGGTGCAAGCCTTGGAAGCTGCATGTCCAAGGCAAGGACTCTCCTACAGCTCCCTAAGCATAAGCCAGAATTTGTGGTGAGGCCCTTGTTGGGAGGAAACCAGCAGCCTCTTCTCTCTCTGATGCTGTTCTGGAAATCATCTTTTCCTGCTGTTAAGTTTAGGAGAGATGATTCGGGAGGGAGGCTGGGGATAGACCTGTAATTTGACATTTAGGAGAGACAAAGCTTTGCCCTCCCTTGTCTGAGTTTCTTGTGAGTCTCTTGGGGTGGGGTGGGGCTAGTGCTTGCTACGTAAGCATGAAGATCTGAGTTTAATCCCTGGCATGTGGAGGGAGGGCTACAGACACCTATGGGCCGTCCCACCTGCTCTGTGAGGGCCAGGTCCAAGAGGGAGCTTGTCTCAAGAGATAAGATGGAGGGTAATAGAGGTGGACAGTCCATGTTGATCTCTGACCACCCCCCCACACACACACAGCAAGCACACCAGCCCATATGTATGCATACACCACAAACACAGATATACCATAGACACATTGCACACAGACAAGCACACTGGCACATACACATACATGTACCATAGATAGACACATTGCACACATACAACTATACATGCTTGTTATGTGTATGTTTTTCTGCCTACCTGTCTGGACCCACCACCGCACCATCCCCAAATAACACACAGAGAGACACTGTATTATATATAAAGCTGTTGGCCTGTTACTGGTTTCTTATCAGCTAGCTCTGTCTTAAATATTAACCCATTTCTATTAATCTAAGTACTTCCATGTGGTCTCATCTTACCGGAAAGAGGGCCCGTGTACTACCCTGTAGGTCCTCCATCTTGACTCCTCCCTACTCCTTTCTCCCTCCTCCTTGTCTCCTAGTCCTGCCTATTTGTTTTCCTATTGGCCAACAGTGCTTTATTCATTAACCAATAAGAGAAATATATTCACAGAATGACATCTCCTATCATTTCCTCTTTTCTAAGAGAAAAAGAAAGGTTTTAACTTTAACATAGTAAAATTATATATGATAAAACAGTTATCAAATAAGAACCATAGTTGACAATGTTCAGTCTGTTAACATTTAGCAAGATTTAAAGAAAATATTCCATATTCCATCATCTATCCCATCTTTGTGAGTCTAAAGTCTTATATGTATCTTATCTGTAATCCTAACTAAGGAAAACTGTAATCTAATGATCTGTCTTCAACTCCTTCAAAGACCACAGAAGGATAATATATAAACTCTAGAAATGACAGAGACAACTCACTGCCTGGCCAGTCACCCGAAGTTCTTCTGTAATGTTCCATCTTCAGCCTATAGGCCATAGTGTGTCTGGCAGACTCTTCAGCAAAGCAGGAAACTTTAAACTATCCACCTGTATTGGCAGTTTGTCAGTCACTTTTCTCTATGTCCTGCAGACTGTCTGGAGGACTCTCCCATGAAGCAGGAACCCTGTAGCAATGTCCATCTTGTATCAGCAGTCACTTTCCTGTGGGTCCTGCATGTCCCGTTTATACAGTCCGGACAGGAGCAGTATCTTGTCCAAATGGCTAGTCTTGCCATATTGAAAGCAAACTCCATAACACATTTCTTCAAGGTCCATCTTTCTTTCTGATGTAGGTGGTGTTGCCAGGAGCAGTTGTGTCTCACTGTTGAAAAACCCTAAACCATTTTAAATGCCTTCCCTATTCTGTAGGTCTTTGAAAGGTTTGAAGAATGCCTATTCATCTCAAATACATCTTAAATACATCTTGAAAACCTAACTATAATCTGTGCTAAATTATACATTACATTTCTAAATGAGCTGTATAAGCACAATACCTACATAAGAGGAGAAATGTACATATCACAAAATTGACCTTAAATTGTATCAATAAATGAAAATCCATTCCAAAACAAAGTATTCATATCTATACCATAATTCCTTTTTAACGTTTAAAAAGATTGGTTGTGGTCATTAACCATTTATAACCAAGGCCACTTAAATGAAAACAAACATTTATGAACAATATTTGGGAATTTGGGTGTCGTTCTTTCCAAACTGCTTCCTGCTGATAGGGGGTACTGTAAGAAGGGATCTAAAGAAAATGCAGAAATCCTGGCTGTAGTCTGCAAGGCTGCCTTGTCCCAACTGTTTTGAATGTTGGATCACCAGGAACTCTGTTTCAGGGGGTCTGGCTTGATCAAACCATGCTAGTCTGGAAGGAATCCACAGCTTTTCATTTTCTATGGAAACAAAAATAGAAATCCTTTCCTCCAGTAACCTGTCCTTAGACTTAAATTTTGGAGTCAAAGCATTTTTAAAATATGTAAATTGGACTAATCCAGCAGCATTTGTTTTAACAGTTGTGACTATTTCCTCAGCAGTCAAATGATTTAAAGATAACAGAACAGCATGTAGTATCCAGTCTTGTTGTGCTTTCCATCTTTAAGTGGCTTTTTTTTTTATTACTCTATTTTATTTTTATTTTTTTCATTTTTTGAGACAGGGTTTCTCTGTGTAACTTTTATCTTGTCCTGGAATTTACTCTGCATACCAGGTTTACTTTGCAATCACAGAGATCTGCCTGCCTCTGTTTCCCCGAATGCTGGGATTAAAGGCGTGTGCCACCACACCCAGCTACTCTGTATTTTTAAAACCATTTTACTTTCTTTTTTCTCCCAAGCCTATGCATATTTTAAAACACACTGTAAACCTTTAGCGGTTTTTCTTAATGTGAATCTGTCTTTACTGTAAATCTTTATCTTTTGTGGCCATGTGTCTTTTATCTGGTAAACAACAACATTGCTAAAATGAAAGCCATAGCTATGTTAGCTGCGGTCTATCAAAGATGGCGGCGGGTACTTTTTACTGTCAGCTCTGAGAGCTGTGCTCACCGCCTTGGTCTACACTGCCATCCAGCAGCATGTTGCCAGCTTGGAAATGTGGTCACTGCCATTGCCAGCTCTCATACACACCATCACATTGTTAGCAGAGCTCTTTAAAAAACCTTTCGGTTTTTTGCCGCTTATGCTGAGTCAGGAAATCACCCTTAAAGGAGCCAGGCAAGTCTCTGCTTCTCTCTAGCAAAACAGAGCCCAACCGAGAAAAATGCTGCTACCAAGAAGCCTTGTTTGTCTCTGTTCTTTTGTTTCTAAAACCCTTTCTTAAGCTTTTGTTAAGTTTTCAGTGGAAGTTCTTATTAGCCACATTGAAGGCGCCATTATGTTAAGAGTAGGTTTTTCCCCTCCAGTCTGGTCCCACAGCCGCGCCAGCCTCAATTAACACACAGAGACGCTGTATTAGATGTAAATACTGTTGGTCAGTTACAAGTTTTCTTATCAGCTAGCTCTGTCTTAAATATTAACCCATTTCTATTAATGTAAGTATTTCCATGTGTTCTTATCTTACTGGAGAGAGGGCCTGGACCTCTGCACAAGTCTCTCCATGTTGACTCTTCCCACTACTTCCTTGAATCCTCCTTGTCTCTTAGTCCCACTATCTTGATCTATTGGCCAACAGTGCTTTATTCATTAACCAATAAGAGAAACATATTCACAGAATGACGTCTCCCATCACATGCTCTTGTGCATGCGCACACACACACACACACACACACACACACACAGAGGCAAGCACACTATCACACACACGTGTATGCACCAAACACAGATTTACCATAGAATCAGACACATTTCTTTCTCACGTACACCACCACCGCCACCGAAGAGTGTGTCATCCATCTACACACAGGCCTTTGACATGTTTTATGTTGCCCTTCCCTTTGGCCACATGTTTATAAAGGCCAGCAGGGTATTGCATAACCCAAGTAGAGAAAATTTTAACATTTCCCACCCATTTCTTTTTGGGTGCACAGCAGGCGTGGCGATCATGGGTGGTATGCCTCTGTGTCTTGTGTGACCCTCACTGGGGAGCTACTGAAGTTTATCGAGCCCTTCTCTCTCTTGTCTCTGGAGCAGCAGTACAACATCTCCATAACTGACCTGGGCCAGCCGCTCTTGGTGAGCTTCGGCCGGTGGAAGAAGGGCCAGAACCTGGCATCCCGTGAGCCTCTTTTCCTGGTCCCTCAGCTGTGTTACCTGACAGGTATGGGCCCGTGTGACTGTGGACAGCGGCCTCTTCAATCATCACAGGGCAGCTCATCCCACATAGCGCTGACGAGGGATTTCATCCTCCGGGGTGGCTGGCTGTTCTGTCCCTAGATACCAGCCTTCTGTCCTCTCCAGGACCAGCTGAGCCTCGAGTGCAGGCTGTAACTTCTTGCTGTCTTTTCCTGAAAGGTTTAAAGCATTGTGTATCTGGTAACCGTAACCTGATGGTGACGTTGACTAACAGAATGAGGTTGAACCCGGAGGACAGAAGGGAAGCACTGAACACATTTATAAATAGCATCCACACGTAAGTGCCTTCTTTGGTTGCTGAGTGTAAGCCTGTACGTGGCATTGTATTCAGGGTGAGACCTGTGTGTAGCCTTCCGGCCCCTGTGATTCTTCTTCTAAAAAACAATGATGACTGTGAGCTGGGGATGGAAACTCGGGTCTGTAGTCCAACATTCTGGAGGCTGAGATGGGACTTACAAACTTGTGTGCAGCTTGGGCAGCATAGACTGTGCTCAAAACAACTGGAGAGATGGCCCAGAGGGTAAGGCGCCTGCTGTGGGAAAAGCCAGGCTTTGTGGCACATACTTGTGACCTTCATGCTGGGGGACAGGGACAGGGGAATCTCAGGGGCCTTGCTGGCTAGCCAGTCTAGTTCAAGTGAGATCCAGGCTCAGGGGGAGATAAAGTGGAAAATAAAATAAAGTGGAGAGAGCTACAGGGAGAAATGAGAAATCCCCAACGTTTCTGGAATGTACATGGATCTACATAGGTGAACATTCATGAATATGCATGCATGTAATCACACAACAGTGATTATAGACTTGGTCATTTGTGGGCAGAACAGTGCCCACTAGAGTGTTAGCTTTGGACAAGGGGGAAACTGTGGGCTGGAAAAGATGAGGTTGTCCTGGAGCTCAGGGAGTTTTTTTTGTTTTTTTTTTTTTTTTTTTTTTTTTTTCTGCACCATCTTATCATAGAGGAAGGCCTTGGGTTTAAGGGAAACTGCTTGAGCTATTTTATTGCTTGGTCAGAGCACTATTGTGATTTCTTTTTTCTTTCAGAAATCCAAGCATACAAGATGAGTTCCTGCCATGGAGTATGAGGTTTGACAACAACTGTCTGCACGTGACGGGGAGACATCTGGACCCGGCAACTCTTTTCCAGTGTAATGATTCGGTAAGCCAAGTTAAAGTTGGCCATAGAGCCTTCAACTCAAGATGCGGGGGGTAAAACTCGTCACATTAACAACCGTGGGTGTCACTTTTTACCGCTGCCCCTCTTTACATGCGAGGACAGGCTTCAGTAACAGTGCGGCTGCATCTGCTGGGGATCTAGGTTCATGTGTTTGGGCAGCTTCCTGGGCCAGGAGGGCCAGGAGGGCTATCCAGAGCCCCAGGGCGTCAGTGTGGGTCAGAAGGGTGAGCAGGTCAAGATGCAAGCTAGACCAAGGAAATAGGTTTGGTTGGCTAGATTGGAAAGGCACAAGATGTGGGCTGATGCCTGCCTCATCTGCCTGTCTCCACCAGGGTTCGGTTTGTCTATGTAGGAGACCAGGGCCATTATGTGCTGAGGGATGCAAGGAAAAGCATCTTAGCACCTGAGTTAGAGGCCCAGTTCCCCTTGCCTGCCTCTTAAATGCTAAATCCACTCAGTATTTGAGATGGGGGATTGTGAGGTCACAGCAGGAGTCTTGCAGCTCAAAGGGCAGCCTTGACTTAGGCTTTCACTAGGAAAAGATGGAATAGCAAGGTGATGTCAACAGTTCAATTTGTTCTTATTCCTTTTCAGTATGAGGTCAATAAAAATTCATGGAACTGGCTGAATGAATCGAGCAGCAAAGCCTTACTTAGACCAAAGCCCTTGGAGCGCTGGGTGATCCTTTACACAGAGAACTGTGACTCAGAGGTAGACCTACTAGTAAATAAACTCAAGAAGGTTGCAAGCACCATGTGGATAACTGTGGGGCAGGAAGCCAAGTAAGTGGGGACTGGAGTGAGCACTGGTCTGAACCAGTTGGTGACCTTTGGAAAGACAAATTGCCAGAATATTACTTTGTAGGAATTATGTTCTTCTCTTAAAAAAGAGCTTGTTTTACTTATTTTCAATCCAGAAAGAAACCTTGCAGTACGTAATTTATTAAAAAAAAAATGACTTTTGTTTGGAAAAGTCAAACAGTAGTTATTTCATGTGGTTACTTAAACTTTACTTTTGTTGGGTGTCTGTCAATCACTGGGTGCTTGGGAGCATTTCCCTGAGTCTGTTCAGGATGTTCCAAGTCCGCCTATCTCTCTCCTTCCCATCAGTTTAACCCCTCTATTGCTGCAGCCCAGTGGTGACTTCCAAGCTGGTGGTGGTTCTGAGATGTTTTCTTTTTGATTTCTTAAGATATTTTTTATTACACTTATTTACTTAGTTTTGGGGTTAGAAGAAGCACACACACCATGGCAAGCGTGCATGTGTAGGTTGCAGGACAATTTGCAGGAGCCAGCTCCCTACTTTCAGTGTGTGGAGGGGAGCAGGTATTGAATTTCAGTCATCGATCACCAAGCACCTGGCGCCACCACCCCCTCTTAAAGACTTGTACTGAAATGCCTACCATGGCACATTCTGTGTCTGGCTCTCTCTTTCATGCATGTCAAGTGGTTTCCCTGATCACCACCTTTCTGAAAAAGACTATATGATTGTCTTCCAGATATAAATTCAAGGAGGGCCCTGACTCCTTTGAGAAAATGTTAAAGAAACACGTTTCACAAGATACACAGATGGTGAGTGGCCACGGCAAGTGCAGTCTCTACAGACTGGTCTAAGGTGGCAGCTTGCATGCATTTTACTTAAATAAAACTATGTGTCATATGTGTGTCTGTGTTGTGTTGTGGGTATATGAGTGTTCATGCAGTTGCCCATGGAGGTTGGAAAAGGGCCTCTGTCTTTTGGGTTCATGACTGCGTTTGCAGATAAACAAGCGTGCTCACACACACGCACAAATTAAATTAATATAAATAAATATTTTTTAAAATATGGATTCATAGATAGGTCACATGGGAACCACTCTTGTTTAACAGACTCTGGAGCTTTGTAAGTCATAGGGTGTCTACAACCTCCAAGCCCACTTGCTTAGTGGTAAACTGAGGTGATACCACCTATCTGGGTGGTTTTCTGGAAGAATTATTGGAGATGAGGAGGCACATAGCTAGTACCCTGCACATGGGTGGTCTTGTGTGTGGCCAAGGCACCTGACCCTGGTGGAATAACAAGGCTTCTTCATTCCACCTTGAAATCAAACAAAAATGCTGTCATGGTGAATTCTTAGACACTGAATAACCAGAATAAAGTGTTTTGTGGCTTTTCTTTTCTTTTTGTTTTTTAAGCCATGGACCCACACAACCAAACTGTCTCATCTTTTCCTCCCCCACGCCTTCATGGGGGTTGGCGTTGGGATTGCAGGCAGGAGTGTGCTTCCTGTTGTAATTCTAGATGTCCCTCCCATCTCGAGACGGTGTCGGCATACTCCACAGCCTTGCTCCAACAATCACACCTGCAGATGATGGTTTCCATTTGTCCTGCTACTGTGCTGCTGTTAAAGTGCCTCTTTGTCTTCCTTGGAGGTGGTGTGCGTGCTGCCCAACAATGACAAGAAGAGGTACGAGGAGATAAAAACCTTCCTGTGCACCCAGAGCCCAACCCCCAGCCAGTGCGTTTTGGCATCCACCCTGAAGACTACAAAGAATCTCCATGCCATAATCGCCAAGATCGCCCAGCAGATGAACTGCAAGATGGGAGGGGCTCTCTGGAAGGTGAACACCGGGGTATGTAGAGTCCCGGCTCCTCCTGAGTGAACGTATTTGTAATGAAACCCAATTGTCTACCCTTTCGTTTAGTGATTCCTTTCTTCCTTGTTTTGTTCTAACCCAACTAAACTGTCTTTTGTACAAAAACTAAAAATCAAGTTGGAGAAGACAATGTTCATTGGAATCGATTGTTTCCATGATATCGTGAACCGGCAGAAGTCGATTGCGGCATTAGTGGCAAGCACCAAGGAAGACTTAAGCATGTGAGTGAGCCCCAGGGGCAGGCCCAGGGAGGCGTGGGAGGGATTGAACTGGCTCCTCTCTCTAGACCAGTGGCTCTCTGCCTTCCTAATGCCAGGACCCTTTAATGCAGCTCCTCATGTTGTGGTGACCCCAACCATGAAGTCGTTTTCATCGCCTCTTCATAGTGATTATAATGTATGTGTCTGATACATGGCCTCTGTGGAAGAGCTATTGAGTCCTCCCACCTCCAGGGGTCATCACCCCAGGTTGGAATCGCTGCTGTATACAGTATGGGAAGTCAGGCATTCATTCCTGTCCTTCTGACTTTCCAATGGGCTTATCTTCTCTCAGCTTTCCCGGTATCTGGATGGGTCCTTTTATCTTCTTCACTGCCCACCACAAACAAAAGTGGTAGCTGAGCTGGACACGGTGGCATACTCCTGTAGACCCATACAGAGAGACCAAAGCAGGAGGGCACCAAGGCCAAGACCCACAAAAAAAAAAAAAAAAAATAACCTGTCAGCTGACAGCAACATCTGTTCCTGTCTGTTTAGGAGCAGGAAACTGGCGCCCGTGGCTGATGCCATGTTCTCTAGCCCTTGATTTCAACCCAATAATGTTCTTTTGCTGCTAGGGGGAAATAGTGTTTGTGAACATGTGTGCATATGTAGGTTTATGTGGCACACATGTGCGTATGGAGGTTGGATGTTGACAGTGTCTTCCTCCATCCCATTGCTCTCCATGTTTTGCTGTGTTTTGTTTTTGCATCGGGGTCTCTCACTGAACCTGGATCTCATTGACTGGAGTGGGTTGGGCTGGCCAGTGAACTCCAGGAACCATCCTGTCTGCACTGCCCCAGAACTTGGATTATAAGCAGGTTTTCATCATTTTTATTATTTTATTTATTTTTTTGGTTTTTAGAGTCATGGTTTCTCTGTAGCTTTGGAGCCTGTCCTAGAACTAGCTCTGTAGCTGGACACAGAGATCCACCTGCCTCTGCCTCCCGAGTGCTGGGATTAAAGGCGTGCGCCATCACCTGGCTTTAGCAGGTTTTCATCATGCCTGGATTTTTACGTGGGTGCTGGGGATCTGAACTTGGGCCCCGTGCACTGTTATGGTCAACTGTGCCATCTGTCAGCTCCAGAGTGGGTGTTTCTGAGAATGCCCCATGTCCAGGGTTAGGGGATATGGCAGGGGAGATGTCAAGCCAGAAGAAGTTGATTCTGTCTTGGGGTCTTAATTACCAACCAAATGACTGATGAGAAATGAATTGATCATTTGATGCCCGGGCCCAGACCTGCCCACTCCCAGTAAGAGTAGAACTTAAAGCCATGGGGTGGCTTGCTGTATCAGAAGTTGTCACAGTGGCTGCATTGTCCCACAGCAAGTTAATGTTTTCAAGCTGCTTGTGTGTGTTCCACCCCAACCCCAAAAATGCCCAGATCAGTGTGCAAAATCCTCTACCAGCTCTTGCTTCTGATGGTGATATTGGCCAGGAAGAGCTGATTGTGGATTAATTCAGAATCCAAATGGCAAAACAGAGTTTCTGATTGATCAACTTCTCTGCAAAGCAGGTGGCATTCCCAGTGTCTCTTCCAAGATGCAGGACAGGAGATTGTCAGTGATCTCTTCAGCTGCCTGCAAGGTCAGAGCCCAAGGAGTCAGCTTCCTGCCGGCATTCTCCACAAGTGGGCATGACAACCCCACAAGCTGCTGGTTATGACTGAAAATGTCTCCATGTGTGCATGTGTCCATGGCGTGCATGTGAAGGCCAGAAGACAACTGTGGGTGTTGTTCCTCAAATATCACCAGCCTTGCTTTTTAAGATGGTCTCTCACTGACTTGAAGCTCAATGCTAAGTCAGGCTGGGTGGCCAGGGCGCTCCAAGGATCTTCCCATCTCTACCTCCCCAGCTCTAGGATTTACAAGCACTTTTACTGACTGAGCTTTCTCCCTAGCCTCTGTGTGTACCAAGGATGGGGAGGGGTAGGGTAAGGGTGGGGTTGGGGATGCCTATCCACCTAGCAGTGACTCTAGTGGACAGGCCAGTGACGCTGTCCATCAGCCTACCAGGTAGAGTCTCCCTGCCTCAAAACTTCAGCAGAGAGAAGTGTCAAGAAACCTCGGGCTAGCCTGGGGTTGCAGATGGTGAAGCTGCAGGCACCTCAAAGATCAATCTAGAAGTTGTTAGAGAAGCAGAAGTCCACCCCCCCCCAGTCACAGTGTGTTTACACACATTCTCCCACTCCTGTCCAGCTGCCCTGGATTCCTGGGTCACAAATGAGAAAGAGAAACCACAGACTGTGGTGGTGTATCGGGATGGCGTGGGGGATGGGCAGCTACAGGAACTGCTGAAAGAGGAGGTTCGCCAGTTCCAGAAGTTCTTTGGCTTTAGGTAGGTATGACCCCTGGTGAGTAGATGGGGGCGGCCTGCGTCCTTTAGACGCGGAGGAAAGTCTATGCCGCCAGCACAGAAAAGAACTGGTACAGACACAGGCTTAGTGCGGCCTTGTGCTTCTCATTTTTCATCGAGCCAGGAGACGGCTCCCTGTTGCCTTTCATGTTCTGTCATTATCTCTTCCTCCACTCCTCTTCCCTTCTTGCTCCTTTCCCTCCCTCTCCTCCTCCCTCCTCTTTATCTTCACCCTACTCTTCACCTTCTTCTTCCTCCTTGCAGTACTGGGCACTGAGCTCAAGGGCCTCACACATACTAAGCAAGCAGCAGGTCTTGAACTCTGGATCCTCCTACCCTGGCCTGCCCAGCAGGTGGGACCTCAGGCCTGAGCCACCTGCTTTCTGTAAGGAGTAAGTTTTTCCTCCCGCCGCTGCTCGTGTCCCGCTGCCTCGCCAGCCCCAGTTAATATACAGAGACGCTGTATTGATGTAACGCTGTTGGCCAGGTACTAGTTTCTTATCGGCTAGCTCTGTCTTAAGTATTAACCCATTTCTGCTAACCTATGTATTTCCACGTGGTCTCCTCTTATCCTCGGAGGGCCGGCTGGCGCCCAGCTCTCTCCAGACTCTCCATCTTGATTGACTCCTCCTTACTCCTTCCTCTTTCCTCCTTGTCTCCTAGTCCCTCTTGTCTTCCTTTCCTATTGGCCAACAGTGCTTTATTCATTAACCAGTATGAGAAACATTTACAGAATGACGTCTCCCGTCAGCTCTCTGTTCCAGCATTGGAGCATTTGTCCCCTCTCAGGGGTGGCAGATGTCCATACTCATTCTCTCCTCTAGATGGCTGTCTCGCTCTGCTTTCTCTGTCCTCGTCTGTGAGGCCCTGTTGCCAGGGACAGCTGCAAAATGTGCTTGTGTGGAAGGAACCTTTCCCCTCTGATGTGGGGGACTGTGAGGAGATGTTGCTGCCTGGGAGGGGGTCCCATCCACCACCTTGGGCTCCCTCTGATCCTACCCAAGTGTACAATGTACCCCCACACACAGGGGTGCTCTGAGGAGGGGCTGACTTGGCAGAATGACACAGAATGACATATCTGTCCTCTTTTCAAAGCATCAAGCTAACGTTCATCGTGGTGAAGAAACGTATCAACACCAGATTTTTTCTTGAGGAGAAACAAGAAATCAAGAACCCACATCCTGGGACTGTTGTTGACGAAGTCTTAACCAGGGAGGAGTGGTACGCCAGCTCTCCAGTGCTTCAGTACAATCATCCCTTTTTCACTTGGCAGTTGCCCCTGTCCCCTGCCAATTTGGAATGTCTTTAACAAGCAGCCTTGTTTTAGCCAGGGTTACTATTGCTTTCATGCAACACCATGACCAAAAAACCGTTTGGAGAGGAAAGGTTTACTTCAGCTCACACTTCCACACCACAGTTCATCACTGAGTGAGTCAGGACAGGAACTCACACAGGGCAGGGACCTGGAGGCAGGAGCCGATGCAGAGGCCATGGAGGGTGCTGCTCACTGGCTTGTTCCCCATGGCTTGCTCAGCCTGCTTTCTGATAGAACCCAGGAGCACCAGCCCAGGGACGGCCCCACCCACAGTGGGCGGGCCCTCCCCCATCAATCACTAAGAAAACGCCCTATAGGCTTGCCCACAGATCTTCCAGAGGCTTCTTCTCAGCTGGAGCTCCCACCTGATGACACAAACCAGCCAGGACACACACAGTATCAGTCTGTGCTGGGAAATACTTCCTTTACATTGAGAAATCATGTTTGGTGTGGGGTTCCTTGAGTTTCTTAATCACAGTTTTGTGACTGTTAGCTTTTGTGTCAGCCTAGAACCGTTTTAGTTATGAATGCAGAAATAACAGTGTGTATGTATGGACCGTTTGGAGCCATGGATGGATCATGTGCTACCAAAGGAGCAGTGAGTCCCATCGAGAGCGAGTCACATGGAGACGGTTCACTGGGTAAGGGCGCTTGGGCACCAAGCCTCCAAGCTGCTCATCTCAGTTTGGTCCCTGAATCCATGTGCTAGTACAGTATGGCCTCACGAGTTGGCCGTGGCACATGCAAGCAAATCAACCTAATATTTACCACTCACTGCAGAGATTGAGTATTCTCTGAGCAGTCGTAGGGAAGGGTGGGAATCCTTGGTCTCCAAATGTGCCAAAAATTACAGATGAGATGGAGTCTGTTTCATAAGACACACCATTTGACATGTGCGAGTTGTGTTTTCAGGCATCAGCAGGTGACATGTTGTTGCGTGTGTGTGTGTGTGTGTGTGTGTGTGTGTGTGTGTGTGTGTCTGCGTGTCTGTCTGTGTCTCGCTCCCTCTCTGTGGGCAGGACTTATTTGGTAAAGAGGCAGTGGACAAGTGCTGCTTACTGGCTTGCCCCGAACGATAACTTGGTAGGCAAACTTACTCTCTTCCTGAACTGTTAGACTGATGTAAAAATTAAGCCAGCTCAGCCCTCAGCCCTCCTCCTCACTCACGTCCCCAGTTCATTGCGAGAGACGGGGTCTCTCACTGAACCTGGCATCCAGAAGCCCCAGGGATCTTCCTGTCTATTTCAATGCATGCTGTGTACCCAGGGTTTGTTTTTTTGTTTGGTTGGTTGGTTTTTGTTTTGTGTTTCTTAATGTGTGTGCTGTGGACCTACCCTCAGTCCAAATCCTTTCAAAGCAGGCATTTTATCCACTGATTTGAGAATCCCATGGGCATTACTGTGTCAACAGCTTGTCCTTCTTGTTCACGGGTTTTCTTTATCATATTGTGTTTCACCAGATACAGTGGTGCCTATGCTTGAAGGCAGCTCACCCATAAGGGGACCCCTCCCGCACACTGGCAGCTCCGTGCTTTAGTTTCCAATCCCAGTAAGCTGATAGCTGATGATGTCATCTGCTCCCTTCTCCCAGGTATGACTTTTATATCATCAGTCAGCCTTCAAAGAATGGAACCGTCACACCGACTCATTATAATGTCATCTATGACACCAAGGGCCTCACTCCCAACCAGGTCCAGAACTTAACCTACAGACTCTGCCAGATGTACTACAATTTGCCGGTGAGCCCCTGGGCATGTTTAAAACTTGGCTTTCTTTGTTCTTTAAAACTGAACAATTTTGAGCCTTCCAGATTGACACCTGTGAAAATGTAAACTGGGGGAAAGCCCCTGCAATGTCTGAGTTGACCAAAGTCTTTCCTGCTCTCTTCCTCCCAAAGGGTTTCATCCGGGTTCCTGCTCCATGCCACTATGCACACAAGCTGGCTTACTTCGTGGGGAAGGCCATCCACCGGAAGCCAGCGCAGAAGTTGTCAGACTATCTCTATTACCTTTAGCCACACAGGAAGCAATGACGTCGAAACCCACAGCCCACTCATTTTTTTTTCTTGTATTTTTCCTTTCCAAGATGGGCCCCCCCCCTCCAGTTTATTTTTTAAAGACACAAAGGGGAAGCATGAGGCATGAGATAGAAAAATTAGTGTTGGGAGTGTTGCCATGTGACATTTGGTAATTGGATAGAAATAGCCTTTTGAGTTAGGTATGGAAGACTGTTGCTTGCACTTTGGTGAGGATTGAAGGGCATTTGGGGAGGAGTCACAAAAATGCTCTGATTGATTTAAAAGACAGAGACTTGGAGACACACAAGCATTTTCCCCACGGCCCCTCAAGGAAAGCCAAAATGTGCCCAGCCTTTCTGTTCAGTTCCTGGTTCCTGCTCTGGGGCCACTGGAGACAGGGACATATTGTCTGTGTGAGGCTATGGTGCAATGGTATGTCTCCTGGGGGCAGAGGCTCCCCAGTCAAACACTCTCTAAATGGCTTCACATTGTTCATAGATCAACTTTTGTTTTCTTGCAGAGGCGTTTTGTTTTTTTTTTTTAGGGGTTAGGAGCAGCGATTCACTTTAATTACGCACCCAAAAAGGGTGGACTGGCAATGTTTGTGTTGAGGGTGCAGCTTTTCAATCCATCTTGTAAGAAATAAAGCTAATCACTTGTGAAAATATATTTTGAGAAAGAGGAGCTTCTGTCCCAAGTGGCAAATGAGATTGCTCTGTACATTCAATCAATACCAAGACACTTTGTGGTACACAGGCAGCCGGTGGTCATTGGTGTCTATACCTATATATACACACACCTATATGCACACACATTATTTATGATATATGACACTATATGTAGATAAGAGAGGGATGGACTAAAAATAGACTCTGGGCAAACTTTACTTTCTGAAGACTGATTTTGGTTAGATACCGCGCTAGAGAGGTAAACACTGCTTGGAAGACAACTGAAAACGAAAACTTCTGAATGCTCCTCACTAGCATGGTGTGTACAAATGTAATCTATTTCTAATCCTCCAATTGACTGATGTGTTCAGTAAAAGCATGCATGCAAAAATGCTGGATTCTGTCATGGTGATTGCAGCTCTGTCAATCTGACAGAGAAACCCTGGCCTTTTGGGGTAAATGGAATGCTGCTGTATTGAGCAGCTGCCTGCTGGCCCTGCTGCATCTGTCTTCATAGGGTGGTGCCTGGCATCGGTTTCCCTGAGATGGCTTATGCACACAGCACTGTGTGATGCCTCAGCTCCACTACCTGGGCTTGAGGTTCAAGGTCTGCTAGGAGCATGTGTGTACTAATGACATGATCCGACACTGACTTAAGGAACTTGGTCCTCTGAGCCCAGAGATGGTTCTGGATACATTCGGTTGCCTCACCAGATCTGTGGGGAAAGGGGCTTGTGGTCAAGACTGATAAAACCTGGGTTCAGTCCCCAGGGACCCACTTGATGGAAGGAGAGAACCAACTCCCACAAGTTGTCCTTCAGCCTCCACACAGGCACTGTGGTTGGAACGGTTGTGTATGTACTGGACATATACACACATCATGCTCTGAGCAGCCAGGGTAACACATGCTTACTTAATGTTGCCCTGGGTGTCATGTTAAGGCTGGAGGCATAAGGCGTAAGGCATAAGGCTGGAGGGTGGGGGAGGGGGAAGGGTCCATAGGCAATGTAGTTATGATGCCTTGAATATGATACCTTTTGTGTAACTCTTACTGAGCCTAGTTACATGCTAGACAGACAAGGTATAACAAAGTGAGTGTGAGAGGCATGATCGGAGATGAGCAGGCCTGTGTGCGGTGGCGGGAGAGCCAGCAATGATGACCCTGTGTTTGGGTTTGCTTTTTCTGAGGCTGCAAATGCTCTGTGAGGCAGTTGAGAAATGGAGGTTCGACCCTTGCATCTACCTAACTGATTGGACTACTCTACATCAAAGCCTGGAGCCAGTGTCTGTCTGTCTGCTTGCACCTGGTTGGGGTGCAGGCCTTGCATTGCATCTTGCAGAGTGCTTGAGGCAGACCAGAGTTGCCAGATTAAGACCCCTGTCCCCAGCCCGTGTCTTCTCTGCAGGGCAGTGCCATCCTTGACAACGATCCCTTCTAACATTTGTCAAAAACACCATATGTACTATTTGATCCAAACCAACCAGATGTGAGAGGCACAGCAGACAGGGCAGAGGGAAACGGGCTAAAGCTGCGAGCTGGCAAGGGCCGTTCCAAATGGCGAAGTTTGGAAGAATCACAAGGGAAAACTTTGGGTTTCTGTTTTATCGGTATGTGTGTGTGGGGGGGGGTGGCGTGCACGCCAGGGGGCAGTATACATAGTCTCTTCCCGTGCCTCTTGCTGAATGCGGAGCTCCTGTCTTTCACTTAGGCTTGTGGCCACCGGGCCTCAGTGACCTTCCTGTCCCCACTTGGGTGCTGGCCTTTGGATTCCTGTGACATCACAAGCACTTCTCTGTGCTGCCTCTGACATGGGACTACAACCCGAAAAACAGTATTTTGGAGGGGTCAGAGGTCAATGCACTGAAAGTAAAAGAAAGGACCAGAGACTGGGAAGAGCAGGGTGAAGAAGAGGAGCAAGAAACCACGGGCTAGAGATGGGACTCATCTATTCAGTCCCTGCAGACCGTGGCTCCCACAAACAGTGGCTGTAAACAACTGGCTAAAACTGACATTTTAAGAAGGAATTATAAAGCTGGGCAGTGGTGGCACACACTGTTAACCCCAGCACTCAGGAGACTGAGGCAGGCAGATCTGAGTTCAAGGCCAGCCTGGTCTACAGCGTGAGTTCCAGGATAGCCAGGGCTGCACAGGGAAACCCCGTCTCAAAAACACAATCGGAAGGACTGACTGACTGAGCTGGAGTCACATGACTGAACTCATGCTCTGTTTGGGATAGGAGCAGTGTTGTGGTAGACTCATGGTCTTAGCCACTTTGGTCCCATGGAACCCCAGTCCCCTTGACTGGTTGGCATCTCCCTTTGATGAGCAACACCTGCCTGCCCTCGGGAAGAGGTGACAAGCCTTCATACACCGACTCTACCGCCAACCACTCTTGTCTCATGCATTGGTGGTGGTTACCCACTCCTACTCAATGCTGAATCCATTTTTTTCATTAAATATGGTGTTGAAGCAGCCTTCATTGGGTTGACAAGTCCTTTAAGTTTTTTAGTTGTTTCCCTGATATGTATGTATCCTGGTTATTTGTCCCCTCCTATCTGCTGCCTTGCCAACCTGCTACCTTACAAATCTCTTTTCTGCATTGCTAGTTTTTGTTTCGTGTTCTTCAGAGTTCTTCAGGGGCTGTCTGTATGATGTGTGGCCCTGGGTTTAGAAATAGTCATGCGCAGAGGTTACGTGACCGGATGCTGTGGCCCCTTCTCTCCCAGGGTCTGTTGCCAAAAACTCAGTTCTTCAAGGTGGGGTCCTGTGAGTCCCTGCCGCACCCACACGGCTGATCGCCAGGAGGGACAATGTTCGGATAGAGCTGCTGTTGTCATGGGCACTTGGACAGAGGACGGGACACTGAGGCCTAACTTCCAGGAGGCACTTAGGCTTCCAGGTGCTGTGGGGTTAAGGCTTTCATATGCTTTCAGCTTCTTTGTTTCCCATACATGTTTACATACAACTTTGACTGGGGGCTCTAAAGTTCTGGACAGTAATTTTTAAATGGCTGGAACAGGGTGGGAGGGGCGGTTTGCCCTGTCTCAGGCCTCTGCTCTTACAGTCTTTCCAACCCAGACAGGGAGAAGCCCACAGTGGGGTGCATGGATCCCTTTGAGATTGCCTACAGCTTGATCTTAAGGAGGCATTTCCTCAGTTGAGGCTCCCTCCTCTCAGATGACTCTAGTTTGTGTCAAGTTGACAGAAAACCAGCCAGAACACTTACTATACATTTTGAAGGCAGGATACCCTTCAAGACTAGACAATGACAATCCCAGAGGCAACTAACTCCAGGTGAGGGAGGCTCCTTTTAGGAGTTGGTCAAGGAGTCCCCCAAAGCCCCCCCAAAACTTGACAGGCTCTTGCCACTTTTGCTGATGCTCTTCAGGGCTCATTGACAAGACCCTGTGGCTCGGGTCACCACACAACTTGGCTGCAAGATATACAGAAATCAACCTGGAACTCAACCATGAACTTCCTTTCTCCTGCTTAGTTCATTATGTGCCAGGCACCACTGTGCAGGCCACTGGGCACAGGGAGCCAAGGCGTCGATGGTCCTGCCCAGCTGTGAGTGATTAGAATACCGATATAATCTCCAGGCAAGCTGTGCCCATCTTCAGAATAATAGTGCCATCATTTTGACCCCCAGTACTGGAGAACAAATCTAGGCCCTTTTTATAAGGGCCTTGCTGTGTAAACACTTCACCGCTGAGCTACAACCCCAGGTGGGCCTCCGCTTCCCAAGTAGCTGGGATTCCAGGTGTGTCCCACCAAATGCTACTACAGAGGGATTTTTAATATTATTATCGTGAGTGGGTGTTGTTTTGTCAATAGCTTTTTCTGCATCTATTGAAATGACTGATGTTACCTCTGTAGTCTGTTGATAGGAATGGCTATCAGTTTCCTATTATTGATAATACCACAGGTTTCTTTCCTTCTCATGTCGAAACCAGTGCCTTACAGAGTCTGTAGGCTAGAGGTTGGGCATGGATCACCAAAAGCATAGTCAAGGTGTCGGGAAGGTTTTGGTTTTTGAATGTCGAACTACTACCATGGCTATCATGGCTGGAGCTTTTGATATGGGAGACTTTGCTTCCGTCACAGCGCACGCACGCACGCACGCACACACGCGAGCGCACACAGGTCAGGGGAGCTGTGAAAGCAGGAAGAAGGCTGAGTCCTGCTGACGCCAGTGATGAGGACACTATCAGGAAGGACACTGGGGCTCACTAGTTTGACTTCTGCCCCCGCTGCTCCCCGCTGGGGTCCCAGTGGGCTGGGGATTGGACTGTGGGGAGGTACAGAAGATGACACTCCCAAGCAGCTGGAT